CTGCGAGAGGTCGGATGGGGAAAGGGAATCCTTGGCGACAGCGATCGAACCAAGGATGGTCTGGAGTCGTTCGGACAGATCTGCCGACACGTTAGCCAAGGCGGTTTTGAGCACCTCCAGGTATAGTCGGTCAAGCAGCTGATGGGAGCCGTGCGAATTTGCGGCGGTTATAAGCTTGGTCAGCTGTCCATTTGGATCGTTGAAGTGAGGGTCTTCAATGAATTTGGCGGCGGTCGCAGCACAGATGAACAGGCCGCCGGTCATCCTGCTGAGTACCTCGATATCGGCGCCGTCGGGCCAGGGCTCTGCTAAGCCGAAATACAGTCCGATATGTGAGAGGGACACCGAGAGATACTGCTTGATGTCCGTGGTGGTGACGGGCTGTAATTCGTCTGCGTGTAGGAGTATCTTGCGAAAAGCATTGCGGTAGCGGGGAGCGTCAAACACGACAGTAATGTGCCGTTCAGGCCGGCTAGTGACGAGGAATCGTAGCGGGGAGAGATTCTGTGCATGGTCGAGCAGAGTCGATAAGATCTCAGAGGTGACCCGTGGCTGTTGACACTCGTCGAGAGCATCGATCACTATAACACATGGGGGGAAGCTGTCGCGGAGGAGCTCCAGCGGCCGCAATATAAGCTCCTCGAACTGGCGAGAGACCTGAGAGTCCACGAGATCGGGATCTTTCTTGATTATCTTCGTGACTCGGTCCTTGTAAGCTTCACAGAACAGTCCTAGGCGGTGAGCGATGGTAGTGAAGATCATGGAGGGTTTGCTGCAGTCGGCATCAAATCGAGAACAGAAGAAGCTTGCACCTAGGATGCCGCGGTCATGGCACTGCTTTGCAATGGTATACGATATGGTTGTCTTGCCGGTGCCGGGCACACCATCAAGCCAGAGGATGTTGGGTTGCTGGTGGGTGGAGCTTCCGGCAGAATTGGCTGTTTCGCCAGGCGCTTGCCCAAGTCGACCGGCTGCCCAGGTGGAGATGGTTTCCAGGATATCGGTACGTGTCCCGCCAAGACAAGCATTGCGTTCTGGATAACCGTCGAATTGCGCCCGGGCCGCATGAGGCGGTACAAAGCTGCCTGGACGAAAGAAGTCAGAATAACGGCGTTGCGATAGTGATTGCCCTGAGCACACCTTCCAAGTGAGTTAGCAAGCGCTAGAAAGGATTAGATGTCAAGTTGCAGTCTGCACACTCGCTGAAAAGCTCTCACTTGAACAGTCACATCGGGGATGACGTCTATCCTCCTCTCTGCTCTCTGCAAGACATACGCATGGTCCGAAGTCAGCGTCTGCATCGGCGACTGAGGCACGTCTGATACATACATTCAAACCAGCCTCGATCGCAATCACACCAACGGCCTGTGATTCGAGGCAGCACATCAGCCAGAGAACGAAACTTCAAAGGTGCCAGGCGTTGCATACCGTAAAAGCATCGATTGACATAGATACCCTTTGCACTAAACCTGTGACCTTCTCCCCTTCCCCGTCGCTTCCCAGTATTCTCCAGAATTTATGCCGGGACTTAAGACTTTGAGCTTCGACATTAATTGCGTTCCATGACCTATGCGACATCAGCAATTTGAGCCTGCGTCATTAGCGGCAGACTCACTCCAGTAATTGATTTATTCTGGCCTGCATTGAAGCAGATATGTTCTCGCCTTGCAGTTCCGCACTCTCTTGCACCATCCTTGTCAGTTCTTCGACCCTAGCAGCCATTTCCTTGATACTTTCTGTGTTCGCATGCGATTTCTAGTTCCTATATCAGAAGCGTCGCCGAAAGGACGGTACACAGCGCATACCTGGATCATCCCCAACACAGCCGACAGGACTCCCACACCTGCCTGCAATCCTGGCACGCCGACATTACCGGCAACATTGTTGAACACGTCGAGAGCTTGTTTCAGATGTACGACTGCGGCATTGGCGGCCTTGCCGCTGCGTAAATTCACTCTCGGACGATGCATAGCTGCTGGTGGAGTGGTGAAAGCGGCGACGCATGCCGCAATGTCGCTGGCCTCGTGCCCCAAGGTTTGCGAGGAATCCGGTCACGGGCCAGAGCAGGCGTGCTCGGCGGACGCCGATTGGCTACTATGGCGAGCGCCGAGAGCGAACATTCGGGTAGTCGCAGGTCGTTGAGGAGAGAGAAAAGTCGCTTTGCAAGTGAGCTTGGACGAGGGACCGCCTTTATCGGGACACAAGTAACATCATAACGTAGGACATAGGTTGTAGTCAAAGCATGAGGCGAAGCACCGTCTGTCTCGACTGAACTGCTACTACCGCTGTCTCGTCATATGCGGTATGTCAACGTTGCTGGACAGCTGTACGGCGGTGTCAGCTCTGTACATAAAATGTAAACGATCCCAGACGTACACTGTTACCGGTAATCACTTGAATTCGCCCATCGGTTAGCTTATTCGCTGTCTCTGCGGATAGTTCTTTTCGCGCCTGAACACCAAGTCTCTCCTCATCGCGATGGGCTTCCAGGCGTCCACCCTGGGTGATGCGGCTTTCAAGCATCCGATTCACCATCGCTGGCTGTTCAGCATGGTGCACGCGCCCCCCTTTTCTCTGCCTATGCAGCTCGCGTCCTCCTGTTAGATCTATTCGGCGGCTGCGACTGCAAACACAGGAAGCTTGAAAAGTAGCCTACTGCGTAGAAGTCGGCGCACTAGGCGCACAGGTTCGGAGTAACGCTTGGTAAAACTATTCCGTCGAACGCGCAGTAGCGCCAGCAAGTTGGACAGGTGCGCGTACAGCTCGACGCAAGTCGGGAGCGGTGCAGAGGTTGTGCGCGG